TCTATCTATCTATCTATCTATCTATCTATCTATCTATCTATCTATCTATCTATCTATCTATCTATCTATCTATCTATCTATCTCTTCATTCCACACACAAGCATCAATATATTTCTACGGTGTCCCCCTTACTTGCTCCAACTCAAGTGGGATCTAAAACAACCTCTACACCTTCCAAGATCTGCTAAGATCACACGAAACAGTGTTACTGGGATTCGCCTACTACTCGCTTGGACATGACACTCCCGTCTCATAGCTGTTGCTGAAATGGTGGGGAGGTGTAAACAGGCTTAATGTCACTTTCACTTCAGAAGGGCAGGTGATATTTAAATAGCACCACTGGCCACCTGCCAGCAAGTCCTCCCTGCTATGGGGCTCGCTCGCTGGTACAGAAGGAAGTTAAACGACATCAAGGAAAAGGAGGTTATAATACAATACAATAGCAGAGTTGGAAGGAATCTTGGAGGTCTTCTAGTCCAACCCCCTGCCTAGGCAGGAAACCCTGTTTTATAAGGTGAAATCACAGGTGTGGATGCACCTATCCTACCAATGCTGCGACCCCAAATAATTTTTAAAGCGGTGAAACACGGATGCCCCGTGATTCTTGCCAGGCACCGATTTTCTGTGCATTTGCCATAAACATCTCAGGCTGCTACAAACCTTCCTGCTTGTCCAGGTCAGTGGACTGAATTGGCCATTTTTTAATTTTAAACCAAGGAACAGCCCCAGACGGTTCAAACTTTCGAAATTGTTCCTCATTTCTCTGATTTGTTTTTCTTGTTCCTGCCTTGGGGTTATTTTTGACAGAAAATAGGGAGAGTGTGGGGCAGCCTGGCAGGGGCCTCCCTTTGGCTTCCTAGAAGCGCCGGGCCCAACAGACGGTCAGCCTGGCCTTCCCGCTTGAAGTCGCCTCTCCTCATCCAGGCTGCTCCAGGCCTGAAGTGGGGAGGCTTCCCTCGCCCTCGGTGGGTGAGAGCCCGCTTTAGGGGGGCTGCCCGGCCCTTCAAATGCTCCTTTGCAAAGCTGTCCTATTAGCTAATAGTAACGTTAACAGTAGCCTCCTTTCCCAGCCAAGGATAGATTGTAGCCACCAAGAGCCCCGGGCTGCTTCTCCTGATCAGGCGGGCCTGGCTTGGCTGCTTTGGGTCTCCCTTTGGGGAGGCTTCCCAGGGGCTCTCCGTGGGCTGGTCCTTGCTGGCCGGCTTCCTTCAGTGCCCGGGGGGGGGCAGAAGGGAGGCGCTGGAGGAGGCGGGAGGAGGAAGACCCGGGAGCCCAGCGAGGCCTCGGGGGGCTCAGCGCCCTCGCTCCCTCCGCGGCAGGTGCACGGCAGGCGCCCGGCCCGGCCTTCCTTCCTTCCCCGGGCGGAGCGCGAGCGTGCGGGCCCTGCAGCCGGACGAGGCGCCTCGCTGCGCGCCGGAGGAGGAACCACAACAACCACGCGTGGCCGAAGCGGCGGCGGCGCGCGCGGGAGAGGGAGAGGCGGCGCGCCCTGGGCGCAGCGCGGTACGGCGTGCAGGCC